AGAGCGATCTCTTCCCAAACTAGAATCGGCAACCTCGGGCAGTCACATGCCCGCGCATTTTTTTCGCCATCACTTTGTTATTAGTGGAGTGAGTGACACCCCGTAGCCAGTTGGCGGAATGAGTGATGCCCCATAATCAGTTGCTGTAGTGTAGAGTTGTTCCGGTGAAATTGACATATCATAACAGAAACGAATAGCTGATTTTGTTTGTGCTCATTTCAATAAATTCTGTGAACGGCGAAATGATCACCTGATTTTGTGTTCGATTAATTTAGCTATACAATTATGCGATGTAGATCATTTCGCAATTCCTAAGTCCGAATTATCTTTATTGGATTATTATTATAATACTACGGTAGTTAGAAATTAGTGATAAACCGACTTCTGCTCAGAGCTGAGATCTCAGCGTTTTACATGCTGGAAAAATTTATGTTCACAAAAAAGAGTTTCTAACTTGTTCTGAAACAAAATACGTGTTACCTGATTACCGATGAAATGAAATCCAAGCGTCCCTAATTGTAAATAAACATGATTTACCCTGCATAACGACCCTGAAAATCGACGATCGACATCGATATGTCGGTTTTAATGCCCAACGAAATATCGTTAGACTTTTGTCATAAAACTTTGTTGCAAGCGATCCATTATTGAAATTGATTCGTTCGAACGAAAGGATAATAGCAATAAATGCAATTTCTGAACCTCTCGTAACGAGAGTGAATGAAGAAGATTATACCCTTTACATCTCATTCGCTGGGAACAGATGTTACTCACTAAGAAGAATCATGTTTAATACAAAACGGGGCGAGTCCTTCCGTCGGTCGTAACGTATTACGTGCTAGAAATGTTAGTTTACAAAACGCTGTTGACCAACTTGTTTGGACATTATTATTATAGCGATGGATATTATAATCAACTGTAATTATAAACATACTAATATTGCATATTTCTTATCTGGAAATCATGAAGACAAGTTCTTCTTGCAAATAAACTAGTCGCCGCAGTAGATATTGTATACCACAACACACACGATTGGTATATTTCATTTCACTTACAAACCAAACCGACAGCTAATACAATTTGCCAATTATAATCTCGATAATTACCAAGATACTCTGGTGGAAGTCATAACGTTAGCAAGGGTAGTTGTATGCTTATTGTTTATACTACGGTTTGGTAAGATTCATATTGTGTAAACTACTAGTATGAACTGCAGAAATGTCAGAGGTAATTTATAGTCGTCAAGCACAGACATATAACTAACTATAATAAAATGATTAACATCATGTAAACTTATAGTGACAATTGCTTTAACTAGAGGTTTCCTTAAGGATTTACTTGTTGTTGGATGTTTATTGGATTTAGGATACTAATTTTCAACGCTTGTTCGTTGGCTCAAACTGAGATGAGCCTTATTAATTGCTCACATCTAAATGTAACTAATGCTGCTTAATTTCTCAATGTGCTCACGAAGAGATATGTTTCAAGAGGCTCCGGGATCATTTCTCAAATTTCCTTTTGTATGTATTCACAGCAATTCTTTTATCAGGACAACTTCGTAAATGCTTCCTTTTCTTTTTCATCCCAGCTCTTCTAAATCGTTCAACTTCACTGACTGTTTTATCACGAATATCCAGTGCCTATACAGTAGAACTGTTTGTCAAACAATACCAATTGACAATCAAAGTGATTACCTCATCGGAGCGAGCGGAACGGTAAAACAGGTATATACACGTATCTCACTCGTACTCCGTCTTCATCCCCACTAATCTCCGGCGAAAACAAACCTCACTAGCAAACACCTTCTTTACCACCTTAAAGGATGACCCAACATTCTTTCTAATCTATCTATAACATTACAGTATTTTATTTTATTTTATTTTTTGATTTCTAAAATAGAAGTGAAACTAAGTTGTCTAGTCGTTAATCGTTGCATTCATGGATAAAATAATTTGCTTACGTTTATTTCTCCTACTTCATTCTTATCTTTTTCCCTGACCTCCCTCTGCGCAGTAGCAAAATATGTCTGTGTTATTCGTCTTACATTAAATCCGTTCCAATTCTCCCGTTGTCCTAAAATTACGTGTCAGATTATGATAGTGACTAAATAGAATAATTTATACTTACTTATTCACGCCTTATCCTGGATTTTATACTCTTTCTTACACATCCTTCCATAACACACTCGTTTCTGTCATCAGTAAACCGCGCGTTTAGGTTATAAATAAGCCCTACGCCCAAATTCGTACTATCAAGTAAAGTGCGCTGCTCATTTTTTAGTAAACACGGTATATAGAATCTTTGGTGGTGAGGAACTCAAAAAAGAAGACGGCGACAAATTATTAGACGTTATCAATATTTCCTTTATACTATCGAGAAAAGCCTTTTGTCGGCTATCCATTTCTTCCATATCTTCCTTTATCCTTCGTAACTTGCTGGAAATTTGAGTGGTGGCCCTGATTTGCGTCATGGCAAACTCATCAAAATCTCTCTTTTTAACTAATTCTTTCACCTCTTGCGTAAGAGAGTTTAGTTCGTTCTGAGACGTATTGGCATTGTTATTGTGTCTATTTCTCATAACGTTCTCTCGTAAGAGCCGAAGCGACGGAAGAAAATGATAGTGGAAGATTATTTATTTTTAACCTTCTATAAAGAACAAACTCGTCTTCTGAATCCCATGCTATTCCATTTTCGACAAGATTTGCCTTTGCTTAGTTTTCTATTCGGTCGACCACTTATTATGGCACGCGAATTAAAATCCACAAAAAGCGCCAAACAATTACCTGACGGATATTCCGTAGTAGTAGGGGTTTGCTATTACTATGCAAGTGCGTACGAATTATCGGGCCACGCTAAGCGTCAAACAATTACGTCACAACCAGAAAGTTATCCTCAAAAAATCGAGCTCTTCCCACGAAGTTCTGACGTTGATTGGTTAATTAGATTTACAAAATCAGAGTCGAATTTATTGCGCATCAAAAATTTATTATTCTCAACATGATATTGTTGTATGTCAGTTTGGAATATATAGATTAGATAAAAGATATTTATTAAGCAATGTCAATTATGTATGTATACCAATGTACTAATTATAACAAATAAGTGATCGCGTTCTTACTAACTATCAGTATTTATTATAGTCGCTTGAAGTATTGACTCTATGATTATTGGACCTTGTTAAGTGTAGATTTATCTATCATACGATTATTTGCTTGAAATTATTGGATATCGACAGTAATCTAATTTGCACTGAATTATTGGTTAGATTGTATTTCGATATGTGTGTCGAAGATTTGCATTGGAAATTGTTGGTGTAAGTTTTGGCATTATGGTTAGACTGTAAAATATAGTCTATTTTGATCTAACCGCACGGTGATTTCCATTGAAATTATTGGTACAAGTTTTATCATCACGGTCATACATTGGGAATAATTGTAAATCTCATCCAAATAATCGCACACTTCTGCTGGTGCAAATCTTTTTGTTGAATACAGATTAAGATCACTTACTGGTCAAATGGGGTATTCTAAGAATCGAAGAGCTTTGACTCTTTATTCTGGCATGCTAGGTGCTTTTCTGCAGCAAACTGATCTGTCTACACCAGACAATCGCTGGTATCATCGTTACGTTACGCTACTGAATGGTTACAGCAAAAACAACCCTTATATCATTCTTTAGCTTCGCATCTACTCCATTATTACGGATATGGTTTAACTACTTCGTCTATTATTTGGCCACAAGCATATTCCTGAAGACAATACTGCTCCACCTGCAAATTCATCGGATATAGTAATGCCTCCATATGTCCTTCCTGAAGAAATACATAACGAAGATGCTCCGTTTGGCCATAGGTTTTCTTTTAAATAAAGACGAACGACAAATTCCATTAAATTTTGCCGACTCTGAACTGGAAGCATTGTTATTTCCCGACTTATTTCATGATCACTATGGAGATCTACTAATACGTATGGTAAATATATAAAAGCCCGATTGATGGGATATGACCCTCGCTTTCGATTTCACCCCGTTTGGATGATGTGGTCTTATATGCAACTGGAAAAGCTTAGAAGCATCAGGAAATCTTTTTGCTGAAATCTAACGTTTGTTGAACGCAAACGCTGAATAAATGCTAAATTAAACGTGCATAAGCGCGTAAATTCTGCAAATGCTTATTGACGCGTTTTGTCAAGCATATTCAAACGATTAATAGCCAACAGCTACCCGAGCAGTTAAACGCATTAACCTAGACGTGTGGTTTCTGCAAACGCTTATTAGGCGATTCATCAAGCGTTTCAATTACTTTAATAAAGTATTTTAATATTTCTGACTGATATTGCATATGATTCCTGTAAAAGTAGTTTCACAGTTTAAGCATTCAAGTGTTAATTGATTTCTTATAAACGAAAGCACAAATGGCCGTGTAAATAGTTTATGTATCGCATAATGATACGTCCATTGTATTTTCATTAATTAAATACAACACGTGACAAAACCCACTAGTCATAGAAGCCTTTAAACATACAAATACTCTCGAAGTACATTCTGTGGTGATTAATGTCTTTTAAGTCAACAGTCATATGTTACTACATATATAATGGCTGATGTTGAGTCTGGAATGGAAGGTGGATATCATGTTGACATTAATAACTGGGTGTGCTCGTGCCCTGCATACTTAAATAGTCGGTATCTCCTCTGTAAGCATCTTGTGGCTAAAAAGAATGGCAGACTATTCATGCCTACATACACTGAAACAATACGCCGACATGATTATCCGTTTCTTATCTTTAAAAAGGATAATCTTCCAATCATTAATCCAATGAACAATCCTTGGGTCAGATTAAGAGACGAGACAGATGAAGAAATTGACATCAATGAAGAGGAAGGTTTGAGCTCAATGATTCAGCAAGAAACATTCGAACATACTAGACTTACAGAGAGGCATCAACAGCTTGCTGTATATAGAAGAAAATTTGAGAGTGCACTAACTAGTACTATATGAACGAGAGATAAACAATAACAATTTCGTTAGAAATTATGAGGTGTTGATGAGACCCATAATTAAAGCGGTCAATGAATGTGAAGAAACTTTACAATCTCGTAGTCAACAGGGGTCCAAAAAGTGGAAGGCTTGCGTTTTGGTTGCGTTGATCTTAGAACGTTGTTTAAAACCTAATAATAATAAAACGTATTAGTGTGGAATTGTGTGGTCCAATACATCTTAACGTTCCTTAGACCATAATGCTAACCTTTTGACAGAACTTCTGCCTCTTCCATCGAATGCGTGGTCGATATGATCGTTCGTCCAGTTTTCGCCTCGTTGATGATATTCCGGATCAAGTCCGGTAGTGAGTTCATCCAAAAAAGACAACCGCTGGATCCCCAACTAATGCTATCGCTACGGACGTTTTTCACCGCCGCTAAGACCGCGAGTAAGACGATTTTCGAATGGTACTAGACGCACGCGTTCTAATGATTCTATCATCGTTGCACATTCCTGACTTGAAGGCACGCCCTTGAGACGAGCGTAGAACAGCAAGTGCTCGCCTACTGTCAAATCATCCCAAAGAATATCATATAGACTTATTCCCTTTGGGTCTTGATATCAAAGCCATTGAGAATTGCATCGCCCTTTGTTGTTGGATGGAGGCCAGTCAAAATGCTGAGAAGCGTTGTTTTGCCTAAAAACGAAATTGTTATGGAAGTCAAGTAAATAAACATGTAAAGCCTCTCTTCCTATTATACGTACCAGCACCGTTAGGACCCAACAGTCCAAAAATCGTGTTCGATTCGACAGCAAACGCTACATCCTTGACAGCCAACTTTCCGTTCGGGTATTCTTTGCGTATTCTCTTTAAAAC